GTCCTCTCCTATCAAGATGAAGACAGCATCTCATGGAGATAATGCTGTTGTTATAGGAAAAGGAAGTCTGAAGGTCAAAGCTGAAGACGGAAGTGATTATATCATCAAAGACGTTTTTTACAGTCCTCAAGCAACATCAACGTTAATCTCACAGGCGGCGTTAGTTGAAGCTGGAGCTAAGATATGGTTTTGGGGAAAAGATGTGGTAATGAGGATGCCGGGTGGAAAGTCTCTAATTGCATCGTATTGTAATAGAAGATGGATTTTGAACGCAATGATATCACCTGTTTTATCTGATCATGAGCCTGAGAGTGTTGGGAAAGTTCAAGTGATGAGTAGCCAGAAGGAAGTTGATCTTGCCTATCTGTGGCATCGACGATTTGGTCATGTTGACATGAAGCGGATACGTAAACTGTGTCATGGACGCCTAGGCCTGGGATTACCGAACTCCATACCAAGTGGTAACTTCACGTGTGAAGATTGTCTTATGTGTAAAAGTACTAGACATCGCAAACTAGGACGTACAGGAAGAGAATATGGTATGCTCGATGTCATTGTCTCAGATGTTATGGGACCATTTCCTGAAGATGTTAATGGTAATAGGTTCACCGTTACATTTCGTGATGTAGCTACTACTTTTTCTGAAATCGTGATCATCAAGGCGAAATCAGAAGTTCCCGACGTATTCATGAAAGTAATCAGCAAATGGGAGAGGGAGACGAATTTCAAGGTCAAGCATGTTAGAACTGACGGAGGTGGTGAATACATCAAGTCAACTTTCAGTAATTGGTTAAAATCAAAAGGAATCGTTCATGAACACTCAAATCCATACGAACCTGAGCAGAATGGAGTAGCTGAACGACTTAACCGGACCATAAGTGAAATGGGGAGGACGATGCTGGCGGCTTCGAACTTACCTCAAACTTTTTGGTCATTTGCTTATGTAGCAGCATGCTACTTGCATAACCGTCTACCGAATTCTTTGACGGGAGATAGTACTCCATATGAATTGTTTTATGGTCACAAACCTCAATTGGACATCATTAGAACTTTTGGGTCGACTGCGTTTGTTCACAGGCACGAAGCACAACGTAATGGAAAGTTAGACGAAAGAGGAAGGAGGTGTATGATGATTGGTTATCTGGAAGGTGGGAAAGGCTGGGTATTTTATGATCCTGGATCGAAGGTTCTAATTAAGAGTGGTATAGCGGTTTTTCCCTATGAAGATAAATTTGTATACTCAAAAACTCAAGCTACACCCGAAGGACCTACAACTTCGAAATCAATAAATAAAATCCTCGACAATCCAGTAAAGAAAGGAGGTTTAGAATTCATTATTAATGCTTTGAAACTTGGTGATTTCACGGCTGAAAACACAGTTTTGGAAGAAGACAAATACGTAGAACTTATGAGTGTGAACGTAAACATTTCAGCTGGATTGAAGGAGCCTAAATCTTATACGGCTGCAATGAAAGATCAATATTCAGATGAGTGGAAGAAAGCGATTGAAGGTGAATTGAAAGCGATGGATGAGATGGGAGTGTGGAAAGTGATTGATCGACCTGAGAATGTGAATGTGCTGGGTTTGAAGTGGGTGTTTACGCATAAACAACTAGATGCAATGGGAAATCCTATCAAATTTAAAGCTAGACTTGTCGCACAAGGGTTTTCTCAACGAGAAGGTATTGACTACGACGAAACTTTCGCGCCGACCGCCTGCATGTCTTCCCTACGTTTCTTGCTTACTCTAGCAGCAGTCATGGGCTGGGAAGTACATTCTTTTGATGTTACGGCCGCATACTTACATAGCGACATTACAAAGAAGGTTTATTTTCAACTACCTCCAGGGTGTATGGATGAGGCACGAAAGCTGAACAAGATTTTAGAAGCGGTGAAGGCTTTGTATGGGACAAAACAGGGTGCAAGATGTTGGTGGAAACATTTCGAGAAGATTTTGAAAAAATTAGGATTCAGACCAAGTCAATTTGATCAATCGCTGTATGTATGTAGAAGAGGAGATGAGGTGTGTATTGTATGGGTGCATGTGGATGATGGGGTGGTGACTGGGAGCAGTGTTGAATTGTTGAGGGAGTTAGGAAAGGAGTTGACGAAAGATTTAAAGATTAGGTGGTCTGAGAAGCTTGACTGTATTATTGGAATTGATGTGAAGAGATTGGAAGATGGATCTTTTGAATTATCGCAAGAAGGACTTACAACGAAGATTATTCGAGATTTTCTTGAAGTTGACCGAAAATCGACGACACCGCTCAATTCTTCGAACCTACCCACTTCGCCGACTGCTGAGGAAGAAGAAATCGACAAGACCAAATACCTATCAGTAATTGGGTGCTTAAATTATCTAGCGGTGGCGACGAGACCGGATCTTACTTATGCTACGAATTTTCTTGCGAGATTCTCCGCTAGACCGACGAAACAACATTGGGAGGCAATTCAGGGTGTATTGAGGTATCTGAAGACGAGTGGATGTGTGAAGTTGAAATTGAAGCCGTTGAAAGGGGAGGTGAAGACGGGGCTGCATACGTATGTGGATGCGAATTGGGGAGGAGAGTATGCAAGGTCGGTGCATGGTTTTGTGACGTTTTTCATGGGGTGCCCGTTAGCATGGACTTCGAAGCGTCAAGGGTGTGTTGCAACTTCGACTTGTCACGCGGAGTACATGGCATTGGGGACGGCAGCAAGAGATGCAGTGTGGTTGAGGAATTTAGTCAGTGATGTCATAGGGGCAATGGGACCGGTGGCTTTACATTGCGATAACACGTCTGCAATTCATGTTTCGAAGGATAACTCTTCAAATAAAAGAACACGTCATACTGAGAGGGAATTTTATTACATCAATGAACAGTTATTCAAAGGCACGGTTACTTTACACTGGGTGGAATCAAAACATCAAAAAGCAGACATCTTAACAAAGGCACTGGGACCATATCTTTTTGCAGCTGGGAAGAAGAATTTGAGTTTAGAGGGTTAATTTTTTTTCTATTATCTTTTATCAATTTTATCTTGTGTGTTTTCTGTTTTTTTCTTTATTTTTTTGGTTTGCTGTTTTTTTTTTGTTGAGAAGAGGGGTGCTGTGTCTAGTCGTGGGGGGGGTGTTGAGAGTACACGACTGCGCCACAGCAGATCACGTGTTTTGTACAGCTGTATTACTTGTAGTCTTTCCGTTCGTCTCCGGCAGAAGCTTCCTTCCCTCAACCATTGTGGAAGCTGAAGCCTCGGAGTACGAACTGACGAACTTCTCGTCCTATTCATTATAGGTATTGCAATCTAACCATTGTGGAAGCTGAAGCCTCGGAGTACGAACTGCCCCGTTTTCTCCCATGGACAGTTGTACGTGGCGCTCTCGAGGTCCACAAGCGTCAACAATGTCAAACTTTGTATGTCGGTTCCTGCCAACGTCAATGAGACAATGAACATTGTTTACAAGGGAATTCTAGTGGACTGAATGTAAGTCCGTTCTGTAGTTCCAAAATGGGAATACAGTGCTAATTATTGATTGTACCATCAGGACGTTGTTGATGCTTCGTAATAGGGGGATGAAATTTTTTTGGAGTTTGTAAATAATGACGTCAATGTGTTGTAATGAGTGGGACGCAATGCAGAGTTGAGAAGTCGTGACCAGTTTGAAACGGAAACTCAACCCATTTCATTGTCTGCAATTTTATTTTCGTGCAAGTGCTGGGCAACACCCCATGGAGGCTGTCGAAGACGCCTGTCTCTCTTGAAGTAAGTAGAAGCCCGGGGGCGGCCTGCCACTCTTGCCTAGCAGATCTCTCGAATTTGAAATCAGTGTTGACACATTTCAAAGACTGCGGCAAAAATTGCCAGATTGTCGTCGGGATAGCACCCGACTTGGGCCTTACGCAACCTCAGGGTAAGGGTGGCTACGTCGAAATCACCAATTGAATTGCAGGGATTATGATGAGCAAGGTCAGCGCCTTCCGCATCAGCGAGATGAGTTGCAAAGTAGCATGAAACCTTTGAACATAAGCGATCTTCGGGCTAGCACAGGTGTTGAGTTTACAGCTAAGTATATCATTAATGTTAAAGGCAAACCGTGTTCGCCGGCAAAACCAGATTAAACTCCCAATCCCTACTAGAAATTTCCGGGTTTACACGTTCACCAGATTTAACCTGAATTCCACGCGCCCCACCCCAAGTCTGTTCCCCATACCTTTGTCAACTTGTTTCTTCACCACCTACCAATCTTCACACTATCCTCTCACTTGCCACATATACCCACCAAATCACTTGATCCAAGTAGTTTCCTATCAATCCATTCGAGCATATTCATCTAAACTTTCAACAGAGCAAATCAACTTCAACATCAAACTCAAGCTCCAATGAACTTAATTCAATCTCATTTGCCTTGACAAATTATCACAACCAACTTCAAATTGGATTTGATACACTTCATGAACAAGTTAGGTCATCATCCCATCTTATCAAATCATTTCACAAACAGCTTACTGATTTGATGATAACTACAGTTTTCAAACTCTTGATTGAATTTGGTCAAGTGGATCGATTCAAGTAAAGAATCTCTTGAAAACCTAAAAACAAAAACTGAAGAAACCCATGAATCATACCTAAAATTAGAAAACGATTTTATCAATCACCTTCAAAACCCTACATCAAACACCTTCACGAAGACATTAACTGCCCGAATCGGATGGTTAAACCAACTTCAACATTTAAAAATTTGGTATAAGTTATTATTAGATGTTCAAACCCGAGCAGAAAGCATCCTAAGAGATACAAAAAAGAAGATGATGATGAAAAGATTGAAAATGTCATAAACGAATCAATGGAACTTATTAAAAATATCGAGGTTTTAAATCGATTGAATTGAAAAATAAATCAAACTTGAACATGTTAAAATTATTTCATGAAATCACATTCAATTCAATACAAATCATCATTCGAATCATCAACTTTTTTTGATTTCATGGCAAATAATCAAAATATTGATTTTGAATTTTGATTGAATCTTTTTTCTTCCTTTCAAGTAATTTGATTTAAGTATTTGAAGAAGAACTTCAATGGCCATTACCGATCTAATATCCCATCAAGCCAACTAAACCCAAATTCGATTTGGATGTTCAAATCATTTCAAACTATCTGTCAATTCCAAACTAAGTCAATCAATTTCTTCTTTTTGCCTCAAATTGACTCAATCACTAACATTCATTTTCTTTTTGGACTTGAATCTTGATTGCAGCTTAGGAGAATTGACTACTGCCCCAAGACTGCGATCAACAGTAACTTAGGAGGTTCATCAGGTCGATCCCATACCCTGTCTGCGATTTGTTTGGCAGTAGGGACCTTGTGGTAAGTGAAGTAAGGAAACCTGCATAGAATGATTGACTTATCCTCAAAAAACCAATCGATTTGAATTATAGAATGATTTGGATTCCTTTACCTAATTTAATTGCAATCAAAGCCGTTGTACGAACTCTTGAACTTAGGTTTAGTGACCGATTTGATAGTCAAAGGTCTACATATCAATCAGACAAGGTAACCATCAACCACTTGAATCGGTTCTACGTTTTATTCATTGAACTCATTGTTTTTTTGGTTGTTTTCGATAGCCCAAATGGTATCTCGATCAAAAACTTCATCAACTAGAAGAACATGAAAGTTCTATGAGAAACAATATTCAAAACCTAATGAATATGAATGGATATAATCATTTAGATGTGATGGTATGTTCATCACCAAACCCACCACAAGAAAAAAGAGCTAACTAAAGGAATGTTTTTTTGTTTTATCTTAGACTGAATTTTCACCTTTATTAATGTCTAAGGCTGGTTTAGCAGCTTACTGCAATTTTGTGTGAACATTGAGCAGCCTTCCTTGACCAACGGGAACAGGGACATCACAACCTAAACCATGTCTTCTTCAACTGACTTCACTTTTCGAAGAACTGGCTCTAATCGTCAATCAACATCAGCCAATGATAGACAAGTATCATGGTCCTCGATCGATGGTCACTGTTGTTACCTGACTTAATATGGAACTAGATCGGAATGCTAACAGGATACTAGCGGATTGTGAGGAAGATCAAAGAAGAACCAATGAAATCGATTGGTAAAGTAAACTTCTCTTTGTTTGCATAGCGATTCATCATTAGAATCTTGGTGGAATCTAACTTGAGATTTAGATTTGATTTGACAGTGGATCGTACGAGTTCCATCAACTTCTGCAAGTATAGGACCATGTTTTGATGTATTGGGATTAGCTTTATCACTTTATTTAACTGTCAACTTACAAATTGATTCAAACTCAACATCAAAATTAACTTAACTTATGAAGGTTTAGGATCAAATGAAGCACCAAAAGATCCATATCAAAATTTAATGACAAGAGTAGCATCATACATCTTACAATCAAACAAAATCAAATCATTTCCAAATGGATTAACACTTCATATCGAAAATCAAATTCCATTTGGACGAGGATTAGGTTCATCAGGTGAAGTGGTGATTGCAGGAGTCAAATTAGGCAACATTTTAGGAAATTTCAATTTAACCAAGAAATTATATTATGCATTGATGGTAGAAAGAGATCCAGATAATGTAACAGCTGCCGTATTAGGAGGATTTGTAGCATCTTATTTAAAAGAATTATTGCCGGAAGATTTGTATGTAATCTCGATCCCATTAGCCCAAGTTTTACCTGAATTTCCAATCGATGGTAAGAAACTTTCCATTGGTTCTATGACATTGATATAATTAATTTTGACCTCTTTTCTCATACTTTGTACAGAAATGCTTCTTTGGTTAGAAGGGTCTTACACCAAACAACTTTCTCAACTCTTCTCAGCAACGGTCAATATGCTTTCAAGACCATGGGACACTCAAATCCAAAACCCGAAATTTACAGAATTAGGATCCATAAGATGTTACTCAGTTACCTTTCTTAATTTAACCCCGATGAACTGTCATATACCACCTTAGAACAATAGAAGTGAATGGATGTCTCTCTGAAATTACAAGCACAAAAGTAAATGATGAAATGACTTTACATCATTTTCTTCATCACAGTTGTCCTTTTCATTCTGAAACTGTAAGCTGAGACAATTCAAGTCAACACCATTCATACAAATAAGAAGTGATTACAGATGAGGTGTTGAGATTATTCATAGCATGCGAACCCATTTAATTCCTTCAGCAGATGCTATCATTGACTTGAAAGTGACTAATCTCAAAACTTAAGCTGATTATTATTCAAACCCATCAGCCTATTGAGAAAGCAAAAGGGAAGCAATCTGGCAATGGAGACTTTTGGAAGTCTTGATTGAAAACTAAACACAAGATGACGTAGAACATACACAGGAAGTAGGTTTAGGGTTGAGATCACCCAGAGATGATGTTTGATCAGAGCCTTGGTACCTAACACTCATGAGGATGCTGTGTACAGGAACTTTCAATACTACTGTACCTATACAAACTTTACCCTGATCAAAGTAGATCCATTTTCTTCTTATTCATATTCTTATTCCATTTCTAGAAAAAAATAAAGCTCAAGATTGAAGTCTGATCCAATGTGGGACTTGCATATCTTCTGAATCATAGATCCAATACATGTGGCTTAGTACACTATGTATTTCCTAACAAGGTACCTAAGTTCAGCCAGTATTGTCTTTCACATTGGTAGTACATAAACCTTGGTGTTCTTTCAAAAAAATTGTTGAGTGTGTATATCTGTCATTCACAATCACTAATAGGTTGGCTGTTGATGTACATTGGTAAGGAAGGTTTTAATAAAGTCAATCATAAAAGTTTTAAAACTCCATCTTTGCTGACTCCTATGAATTCTGTCAAAGTGATTTCTTCAAGAGTCATCACAAGATCAATCATGATGGGTATTGTGTCACCTAGAAGAAATCCAATAGATGCCATCCACATAATGTGATATCTTGGAAGCGGCGCCCGCCGCTGATATGCTAGTTCATAGCATAAATGCTGGCTGAATTTGTTTAAGGGGGGTGCTTAGGGATTTAAGTTTATGTAATATACATCATAATGATGGGCGCACTGAAACTCGAGATGTGCGCTGTGGCAAAGTCAAAAATGAGCATGCTTGCATGAGGTTAATTGAGTGCCAATGTTGTAGTGTGTATATGTTATTGACAGCATATTGTTGTTAAACTGCAGCTGGGCAGAGGTATCAAATTGAAACCTATTTACTTTGTGAGAACATTGAGTGGTGTGGCAGATATGTTTTGGTGTGTTTATGATTAACTTTGAAACACGTATATTTGATGCGCTAAATTTGCAATGCTGTTTATAGTTTAATAAAAAATCAGTTACATGTGAAATTGATTTTATCAAGCTTGATTGACATGGACCAACATCCAAGTCAGACAAAGCAGTAAGGGTTTTTGCCAAGGTGTGCATTGAAAAGCCAGTGAGAGTAAATAAAGCTAGAGAGAATAATGAAGATGGAATTATGCAATGAGGGGCCTCAATGACAAATCCCGGGGCGGCTCTGCCGCCAAATAGGCTAGTTTTCAACAAAGTCTGAAAGATGCATCAGTTTTCCTTCACTTTTGCGCTTGAGCGCGCAGTCCTTCTCTGACAACCAAGCAAATTTTGGTTCCTCGCCCGTGTGAATAGTACACTCGTCCTGATAGATACAAACAATCTCTTGAGTTGAGCCTTGAAGTTTTGGAGGTACAATTTGATCAAGGTCCTTTCCATCGTAATCAACTTCGCGTTTGCTGAATTCAATGAGTTGCTTATTAAAATCCTGTCGCTTAAAAACAAAAATCCGCACGTTCATGCCCATCATAATAGATACATTTAGATTGAGCTTTAACATGTAACCCAAGTTTATGCATCCATTTGTTACCTGTAGCTAAAGTGATACTATCTGGATGTTCATCAAGCTTAGGTAAAATTTCTTTGTTGACATGATTAACTAGCTTTTCGGGTGTGACCTGAGTAGTTAAATCAAGGAGAACTTGTTAAAAAGATTCAAATTTGGGTTCAAAGTGTTGTATGTACATACCTTGCCAACCTTGTGAGTTGGAAGCCAATCTCTGATCATCTGAAGAACCTCAGGATTGTCGATTATTGAAGGATGCTTGGTGGAACGACTGTTTTGTGGTTCAATCAAGTGGCCATGAATTATCAGATAAGCTGCTTGTTTCCGGATCCGAGGTGCATGACCAGTTCCGCCAACCAATCCAGAGTGAGGTCCAATCATCCAACAAAGAGATGCCTTTGCTACTGCCTTCAAGGCTTCTATACTACAAGATCCTCGGCTTTTGAGATTAAGTTCCTTCAGAAGGTTATTGTACTCGCACAATTCAAGCAGGATGGCATATTGTTCATTAGAACGTGAATTTGAAGTAAGTTGGCTAGTATAATAAGATTCGGCTTTTTCAGTGCTAACTTTGAGTTTCTCCCATTTTTGGTGGATGCGAGCAAGCTGACGTGTTGTTTTGAACATTGGTTTATCAGCTTTTTTGGTGCTCTTATGATGATCAATTTCTGGTTCAATGATAACAGGATTTGGCGAGTCGAGCTCAGGTTGATTCTTGTCTTGAGATTCAGAATTGAAGTCTGATCCATCTATATCAATTAATACATCTTGATCTTGAGAATTGAAATCCAATTGATTGCTTTCTTGAGAGTCAAGTTTAAGGTGATTGTTGGTGATTGGATGAATTGCCATACTGGGAGTTATATTTGATGCAGTTTTCAATGGCCTTGGAGTCGGTGATCCACGCCAACGGTGGCGTTGAGCCTGACAGCGTTTATTGACGGCCATGACTTTGATATTAGAACTTAGAAGGGAATGGGCAAATCTTCAATGATGCCAAAGCTTCAAAAGTTGATTATTTTGAAATTTACCCCATGGACTGGAGTTGACACGGGGCTTTGCCCCGTCTGAAAGTTACAAGCCTTTGGCACTAACAACCATACAATGAAATTCTCAGTTTGAGAGATTCCAAATCTGAGATTTTCAACCGTACCCGACTCCACAGAACCTTATCCAGATAATCAATCAACACGTTCGAAGTCTCTCAATTTTGTTCATCATCATTGTAAATTTTGTTTGTACCTCCCACCCACCCAGCTGGGTAACGGCCCGCACTCTTGGCAAACGGTTAGATTTTAACCAAGAAGAAACCAGAGCGCGAGCCGGGGCCCGGGCTCCCCCGTACAGCCTCCCGTCTCAGCCTTAAGAGTAATAGGCCTAGGCAGGAGGCACCTTTTTGGGAAAAAAGGTAGGACAAAATTGATAGTAGGCTCACAAGAAAGAGCCTAGAGAATGGACTTCCAGGCACCTTGTGAACAACTCTGCATGCTGAGTTGTAAAAGGTGCGCTCAATTCAATCATGGAATACATATGTTGTTCAGCTCAGTTGATGACCTCTTTGTTTCCTACTACGTTCATAAGATCAATCCCTTTGTTCGAATTATTTGTTTAAGTATGCACCTTTCAACATGCTGGAATATCAAGTCATGCCTATCAACTACGTATTTGCTTGAAGAAAGGTTACTTTTGATCTAGCATCGTTGCCCTCCTCCCTATTTGTCTTTGTTTTGTTATTTCCCTCAGTCGAGAGACATCCTTTCAGAGTCAGACATGTTCAGGCTACTATTCTATCTATGGATTGGGTCATTCTCACTTTTATTTACAACAAAGGTGTTGTATCGTCAAAATCACAAGATGACTACTGAACTTTTGAGCCTTTGATACCTGAGCTTAGTGAGTGATATAAGCACAAGATATGAAGGTCCAAAAACTTTCTCCTCAACTCATGCCATCTATCAAAACATAGGTATACCACTCACCATGTCCGTGTGGTGCTTGCTTGTCAACAAGCGCACACAAGTCGCCTTTGTGCCTCAAAGGCACTCCGTGTGCGCTCGTCGTCGGGCGACTGCCACAAGGACACGGTGACTTATCAATCCGACAGCTCAACCAAGCTTTCATCAAAATTATCTGATTCCAATTTAAATTAAAGAAATTAGATTATCCTATTCTTTTACTGTTGCTTTAAACTCTCCTCCAATATCAACTCTTCTCACAGCTGGAATGTGGTCCTTACTCTCGATTCTCGTTTGTAAGTATGCCAAACGCCCACCGTTAGCAAACACAGGATGTATATCCACAACCGGAGGAGTAATCGTCTGACCAGCACCAGCCTGGCCAACCTACACAGCATGACATGGCGAGGAAACATTGTGAGGTACTCATGTCAGGATAGAGCATAACTTGCGGAAACTCCAGTTGAAAGACTCACCTTAAGGACCAAGGGTCTGGCCTTTGGGTTCTTCACCACCTCCTATGTGAGGTCCAACATCGCCAAGGGATTGGCCTTTTTCAAGGCAGGCCAGGGGTGAGCGTGGAAACCGGAATGGTGAAGGACGCCCCATCCGGTGTCCTTCTCAATGTCAATTTGGCAGGTGGTGCCGGGAGATTGTGTCCAGATATGGGTCCCGCTACACTCAACTGCCAGGCACACGGGGTTCCTAGAGATAGATGAAAAGGTGAACAAAAGACAGTCAGTTTGTATTGAGGTGAAAGTGAGAACAAGCAAAGTACGTACTCCTTGATGTACTCAGCAGCTTTTCCTTTGGCAGTGGGAGGAGGTGCCGTGTATGCACAAAAGTCGTCGTCACAGCGGAGGACCCCAAGACATGCATACCAAATGGTTTTCCAGGGTCCATCCTTGGTGCCTTTGGTTTTTTGGGTGTGAGTGTAGGCGATGTGACCAAAGTTTGTGATGTCGTTGTGAGGCTTGCGGACAAACACTGTCTCGCCATTTGAATAAAGAGGATAACCTTGGGGATCGCAAGTTGTTCCGTGACCGATGAAGGTGACGAGTTCACCCAAGGCTGGAACTGGTAGCTTGAATTTTTTCCCAGTTTTCTTGGGAGGGTGTTGCTTCAATTTGGTAGGGGTAGGTTGAGGTGTCTCAGACACATGCGTGACCATAACGATGGACTGAGCATCGCTCTGAGTAGCAAGAGGTACAACATGTCAAGCTTGTCCATGAAGAAAACCCCGATTTGAGTGATTGACTCAAGTAGGATAGTTAGTCACACTCCACGGCTATACGTGGATAATCTGAGGTGATCC